ACCCAGCGGCAGCGCATCATCAAGCCCCTGCAGACACGGCGCGTGGAGGAGCACCTGTCAGCTCCTGCCATGCCCCTCTTCTTCAAGCTGGTTGGAGCTGTGACCATCCTTGCCATTGGTTTTGCCTACTTGTAGGTGCCTCACAAGTCTGGGAAGGGATGTGCCGGGAGGGTGGGCTGTTCATCCCCTGCCCCATAGTAGCCTGTGCACCCCAGCGCTGACAGGATACCTCCCCCTGCCCCGCATGGCCCCGCTGTGGCCAGACAACAAGCCCAAGATGCATAGAGCCTCCCCAGCTCGTGAAATAACACCCTAGTGCCTGGTCTGCACCTTCCCCTGGGAAGCCACAGCCAAGGACACAGGAGGAAATCTGTTCACACACACAGTAAAATCCAGTCCCTCTCAGCCTGCTTTTTCAACCCAGTAGAGACATGCCAGGCTTTTCTATTGCCTCTAACCCAGCCACACCACCACAGGCACACTCACACAAGAGCTGAGCAGCCATGGCACAGCAGACTTCCTAACTGGATAAACGTGTTAAACAGAAACAGGCGTCTTTCCCATTACTGGTACGACCAATCCCCTGTGTGCCCATGGGACTCACACAGGTTTGAGATGAGCATCATGACAACATCCTACGGCATGTACATATGCATACGCATGCACATGTGTGTATCTACAGCAAAACAGCCTCACTCAGGGTGTGTCCCACCCCGGGAGTCACAGCGGCACAGCTCAGTGCCACCCTCATCTCCTGAGTGCAGCCCCACCATTGGGTGGGTTGGGGACATGGAGCGGTGCTGGGGTTCCTGGCCACCACATGCCAGGGCTGCACGGCTGGTGGCCATCAGTGCACTCAGCATCCACAAGCTTTTGTTTTCCATGCCATGACCTGCCAGAATCTGCAGCATGGCCACATCTCAGCCCTGACTGCAGGAAGTCCCGTGGCAGCGTCGGCATTGTTAAGCGCTTACAGATCCTAATAAGCCCTTTGCAGGAGCAGGCGCAGGCAGGAGGTGTGGCATGACAGCAGGGGGAACCTGTAGATCATATCTGGAAGAAACACATCCTGTGACAGCCCAGCTGATCTCAGTCAGGCTGGAGAAACACCGGGACAGCCATCCCCAACCAAGAGGCACTGTGCACCCCCGCCGCGACCCACCAGGCTCCACACACCCCCAAGTGTGTTTTGCCCTGGGATAGGACTCCCCAACATCCCTGCCACCACCATAGTCCTGCAGGACATGGCTGCCCAGAAAGTAGCCATCACTGGTGCTGGTGCCTCTGGCCTGTGTGCCTTGAAATGCTGCCTGGATGAGGCGCTGGAACCCACCTGCTTTGAGAAGAGCAGAGACATCGGGGGGCTCTGGCGCTTTGAGGTAAGCCCTGCGCTGTGCCAGCCTGCCCCACGGCACCAGCACAGACAGCATTGGGATTGATCATTGGCAGCTAACAAACCTCACCCCTGCTTTGCATATGTGCGGCAGTCAGGTTTCCACAGAAAACCACATGTAAGATAAACTGCTGTGGTAGCAGGAAGCTGGTGTCCTGGCTACATGGGACCTGTCTCCTTCCCACCAGCAGCAGGACAGACCCTTTCTTCCCAGTCTTATCCATCCCTTCCCCTGCTGGTTTGTTCGTTGTCTCCTCCAGTCCTTCCCTACCCATCCTTGTCCCATCTGACCCCACTGTCTGTCCCAGTCCCTGTCCTACCCAGCCCTTGTCTAGAAGTCCCACTTGTTCCTCTCCCTGCTTCTGTGGCACTCACCCTTGCAGAAGAAGCAAGCGCTTCCTCCTCTGTGCCTCGGCTCTCCCATCATCAGGGGAAGCCCCAGAGCTCATTGCTGCCCCCACCTAATAAGGCTGTTTGTTGACTTTTCCCCTGGGAACCGACAAAGAAGCCTTTCACAATGTCCTGATACACAGTGGGAAAGCCTGGGGGGGGGAACACCACACCAAGCCAGCATGGAGTTTGGGGTGGCCCAGTTACAGTCCACTGGTTCTGCCCATGGTGGGTCAGAAACGGGGCTGGGGTAGCAAAGCCAGCACCCAGCTGCTGGGGCAGACACTCAGCAAGCAGGAGTGGTCACTTAGCTGGAAGTGCCAGTGTTGGCTCAGAAACTGGTGAGACCTGATGTGGCAGCTGGGGCAATGACACCATTGACAGTTTTGGGAACACCCTATCACATCAGAGACAGGGGTGGCTGCAGGGAAACTAAGGCACAAGACCCCACCACACACTGTTACCACTCATCGTCCTCACCAATAGAGAGTCCTCTTCCCTCTTTTGTGGGGTGGGCAGTCACACCCATAGAGTGCTGGGTGCAGGGACAGGTGCAATCACCTGTGGCTTAACCCTGCACACACAGGCACAGTGAAGCACCAGGCAGGCAGCCCTTGGGTCCCTGGCCAGTGCTGAGCCGTGCCCCGCTCCTGCAGGAGCACCCTGAGGAGGGCCGCGCCAGCATCTACCGCTCTGTCATCATCAACACCTCCAAGGAGATGATGAGCTTCAGCGACTTCCCAATCCCCGAAGACTTCCCCAACTACATGCACAACTCCAAGATCATGGAGTACTTCCGCATGTATGCCCAGCACTTCAACCTGCTCCACCACATCCGATTCTGCTCACTTGGTCCTTGACACCCCTGGGACCAGCCCCCTCTCCAGCTTAGTCCCCACTCCACCCTGGCTACTGCCAAAATGCTTCCACAGGGTAACACACCAGGCAGGATTGCATGAGCATGCTGCTATCCCACTCATCTTGGTGGTCTGTCCTACGTGGCTCTTGCTGTGCTATCAGCACCTGACCGAAGTGCCTTGCAGGCAAGTGTCACTTCTGCCAGCTCACCTCTCCCACCAGCGACTGACTCCCTGAGCCACTGGCCATGCACCCGCTGGGCTCTCCAGCTCTGTGGCAAGGCTTGAGAGCTTGGTGCCAGTGCTGGCCTTTTGGTGCCAGCCAAAAATGCCTGGAGGGCTTTCAGCTGTGGAGACCCTGTGGCTGGGGAACGGGCTGGAGCACACCATCACCAGGGTCTGGCAGGATGGCACAGATCCTGGCTGCTCCTCTGCCCCAACACCTAGCACCAAGCAGGAACTGCAGGAGGATTCTGGGATGGGAGCATGGAGGTGTCCAGTCCAAGCCCTGCTGCAAGCCAGGCCAGCCCCAAAGCCAGAGCAGGATGCTGAGGGTCACACTGAGCATGTCCCAGGCTGGAGATGCCACCACCTCTCTGGGCATCATTCCAGGGCCACACTGCTGCTGTTGGTCTCTCTGGTCCCAACCTGTTCTGAAAACACACCACCAGTCTGAGCAGGGGGACAGCCACCCCCCACTCCACATCCCTGCCTAGCATGGCTTCTCTCTCTCTTCCAGGGCTGGAAAAGTTTGAGGGCTGGTACCTGCACAGCTGGGACTACAAGAGTCCACAGTCCTTCTCAAGGAAGCGGGTAGTCGTGGTTGGCAGCGGGAATTCAGGCATCGACATCTCAGTGGAGCTGAGCCATGCAGCTGAGCAGGTGTGCCAGAGAGCCACCAGGACTGAGCAATGCCCCACCATCCACCGCAGGATTCTCTCTCTCCAGCACCCAGCCACAAGCACCCATCCCCTCTCAATGGGGGTGGCTGTTGTGGTCCTAGCAGCTGTGCTGGCATCCCTGTTCAAGGAACATGGTGAAAACCCAACCCAGTCCTGAGGATGCTGCCACATCACCACCTCTCCTCTGCTCCCTTCCAGGTCTTCCTCAGCACCAAGCGTGGAACCTGGGTGCTGCACCGGGTAGCAGATGGCGGGTATCCCTTTGACTTTTCCTATCTCAGCCGCTTCATACAGCTCTTCCAAAGCCTGCTGCCTCAAAAAGCCATCAGTTTTCTCCTGGAGAGGAAGCTTAATGCCCGCTTCAACCATGAGCTCTATGGCCTGCGGCCCCAGCACCGGTGAGTGCCCTGGCAGCAGTCCGGCTGCCTGCCCCATGCTGTCCATCCTGCTGCCTGTCCCACTGCCCGGGCACACACAAGGTTTGCATTCCAGGGTCCTTGACCAACACCCAACCATCAGTGATGACCTGCCCAACCGCATCATTTCAGGCAGGGTGCTGGTGAAGCCAAACACCCAGGAGTTCACAGAAACATCTGCCATCTTTGAAGACGGCACCAGGGAAGACATTGACGCTGTGGTCTTTGCCACAGGCTACACCTTCTCCTTCCCCTTCCTTGAAAGCTATGTGAAAGTAATGGAGAACCAGATTTCCCTCTACAAATTCATGTTTCCCCCTGATCTGGAGAAGCCAACACTGGCTTTCATTGGCCTCGTCCAGCCCCTGGGTGCCATCATGCCCATCTCTGAGCTCCAGTGTCGCTGGGCCACCCACATCTTCAAGGGTAAGCAAGGCAGTTTGGGGGAATGCAGATGGGCTCACCCAGACATGGCAAGGCTGAGTTGTTCAGCTGGTCACATCTCATCACACACTGCTTTCCCCCACTCGCCTTTTTATCTTATTTTGCTTCTTCATGGGGACAAAAAACAGCATTGCATTTTGCAACGAGCCTAACACTCATCTTCTCTTGTGGGAGCCACAGGTCCAATTGCCTGCAAACCACCTTCCCCTTTTCATTTTCTGCTGTTACTTTCTTCGCCCATGCCTCACACTTTGCTCCTGACATGGTAGCATGTCCCTGAAGCCTCAGAGGTTTCCATGTGCAAGCAAAGGCGAGGCTGGGCTGCAGAGCCAGCCAGACTGTGATAGGAGCACAGCCCTTCCTCCCAGCTACAGCCTCCTCTTCCGCAGGGCTGCAGGACCTGCCGCCATCCGCTGACATGCTGGCTGATGTCATGCAAACCAAGAAGAAAATGGCCAAGCGATAAGGAACCAGGGCAGGCGTCGGCCCTGTCACCGTCACCCCTGTGCCCACCTGCCAAACCTGCTTGCTCTCCCTGCCCACAGGTACGTGAAGAGCCAGCGGCACACCATCCAGGTGGATTACATCCCTTACATGAACGAGCTCACCTGCCAGGTGGAGGTCAAGCCCAACCTGCTCACCCTCTTCCTCACCGACCCCAAGCTGGCATGGGAGGTTGCCTTTGGGCCCTGCACTCCATACCAGTACCGCTTGCGGGGCCCAGGCAAGTGGGCCGGTGCCAGGGAGGCCATCCTCACCCAGCAGCAGCGTGTGGTCAGGCCTCTGCAAGGCAATGCTGGGGACCACGCTGCCCCCTCCAGCACCACACCCCACATCTTCAAGGTCTTCTTCAGCATCGGGTTGATTATGGCCACCCTTGTCTATGTCTTGCTGCCTCCTTAACCTAAAATGAAGGAGACAGTGGGTCCTCCTGGCAATCTGCTTCCTTTCCTTTGGGCTTGTGTTTTTGTAGTCTCTTGCTACAGAAAGACTTCATATGAGGAGGCACAGAGAGGTTTGGCTTCTTGAGATGAGAGGTTCAAGAAACCAAACCTTCAGTTCCTTGAAGGCAAGACAGACCAGCCAGCCTGGTCTGTTACCAGAACCACAACAGGTCTTGTCAGGGACCGCCCGGAGAACAGGGATCAACTCTGCAAGCTCTACCTGTGGGTTAGGTCGGCACAGAGGTGATGGGGAAACAGGGAACTTGCTCAACCACGGCGCCTGTGAAAAACGGCAATAAAGCTTGTTCCTGTGCCGAGGGAACCAGGGACCATGCTGTGTGGGCTGTCTCAGTCGCTGCTGTCCGTCCCAAGTCATCTGTCCTGCCCACACAGGGCCTGTCCAGCACGGGGGCAGCAA